CCGGAGTGCCCCACCTCATTCCTGCCTGTCAAACAGAAGCTCCTTAATGTGACTTCACTGGGTTTTCCACCAGACATGAACTCTCCCTTCTCTTACTTCATTTCTACTGTCCTTACAGCATTGTTCATATTGGTGTCATGTATAGACCCTGCTGTTGGCTGTGGTCAAGGATTGCCTTTATCACTGTTTTATATTTCCTCTAGTTCCTTGTGTGTAGCCAACAAATGTTTATTAAGTTACATCCGGAATTTTAGTATCTGTGCCCTGGCTTTGCTAGTTTTTAGCTGTGTGCTATTGAGCTACTTAATTAACCTAAGTCTCCAGTTCCTCATCAAAAAATGGGGATCATAACAGCACTCATCTCAGAGTTACCAGAAAGATTAAATAAGACAATGAACTTAGTGGGCTTTAGCCTTGTGCTTGGTACAGTGGGAACCATGGATTGTCAGAAGAAGGAAAAGATCCATTTAGGTGGAAGGAATACTGGAGGGCTTTCCTGGGGGAAGTGGGATATGAGCTGGGATTTGAAAAAGTAAATATAAAGAGAAGGCATTTAAGTAGAGGGATCAACCTGAACAAAGACTTAAGAAACAGGACACAGCAGGATGTGCTGATACTGGAGCTGGTCAAGTCTGGGGAAATGCTGTGGATAAAATGAGAGTCCCTGTGGCCAGGATTCTCACCTGGCCCTGGTTGGCACCTGTGAGCAATTTGACTCTATATAAAGAGCTCCTCCGCCCAGTGCTCTGGGTGTGACACGGTGGCAGGGCTGCAAGGCTGCAGGAGAGCAGAGGCTCTAGGGGTGGCAGCGCCCAGGACAGAGGCCTGGAGGACGGATGTGCAGATGGAGGAGCCCAGAGGCAGAGACCAGCTTGCTGCACGCAGACTTGCTCTGAATGAATGGGATTCTAGTGACTGACCTGCCACCTGGAAATAAAGTTGGGTATAACCCTTTCACCCCAAGAACATTTTACTGTCAATTTCTTTGGTCACGTTGAATCCATAGTGAACTGGCCCGGGGCTGAAACCCATTGACAAGACAAATGCTTTCAGAGAGATTCTTCAGGAGGAGAGACAGGAAAAGGGTGGGTGGAATAAATTTTCCAGGAGTGTGGATTAGCAGGTTGGAGGGGAAATCAATCTTTAGTGGTTTGCTGAAGGTTTCTGTCATTGGGTTTGCCCTTTTCAGCATTAGCGACCAGATTAGAAGTGGTGGCCAGTTTGATGAGTGACAGAATTGAATCAGCATTTGGTGTTTACAACAAGTTGCAAAAAAGGATACAAATGGACAAAATGACAACCAGCTGCTAATTATTACCAGGGTTAAGTTTAAAATCTTATGTTTGTGTTTAAGAATTACAGAAGTACAAGAAAGAGTGTATTTGGCTTAGTATCAGTTTGTGGGGACAAAACTTTAAAGGAAAGGGGTTGGAAAGGATTGGTTATAAAGTCAGTTTGCGCCAAAGGGTCAGGGCAAAAATCACATTTGCTAAGGCAATCACCTAGTGTGCTGAGGCAGCAGGGAGTCAGAGTAAGGCTAAATTCTCACTGTACTCTGGTGGTCAGATCGCACCTCACTATTTTAGGTAGTCACATCTTGCTTGTAAGGAACAGAAACCCATCTGGGAAGAAAATGTTTTGGCCTGCAATGCTAGACTGAAATAGTGCCCCTTCCAGATCTCATTAACAGGACAGGGCACCCGCCCCCAGCTGCTGTGAGTGTTGGCAGTTTAGGATTCCCAGATGCCCAAAAGTCCAGAGACTTGTCCTTGCTGAAGGGAGCAGCTTTGGGGACCTTAACCCCCTCAAGGCCCACAGCCAACGCTGACTAATACTTGGGTACACAGAGCTGCCCACTGCCATACGGGGGGATAACTCGGTGGTGTGGTTTATGCTCCAGAGCTCTTAGCTGTGGATTAGGCCAAGGCAAGAACAAGCTGAACCTTACTTGGCTCTTGCTTTTTCTCTGTCTTGCTCAACTTCTTTCCTTACAGGTTTTTCCTCCCTCAGTAAGTCCCATTCACTGGATCTATCTTATAGGCTCTGTTTCCAAGGACTCTGACTTAAGACACCTGTGAAACCAAATAGCCAGAAAACAGCTGGATCCAGGTGCTCAAAGTCATCACCTTTATTGGCCTTTCTCTGTATCTCAGCTCTGATAGCTTTTTCTGTTGTTTTCGCATTGGCTTTATGTATTCTCGAGCAAGTGCTTTCCCGTGGTCCTCCATCCCTGACAACTCCAGGTGAACAGCAGGAGAGTTCAGCAGCCTCAGTGTAAAGAGTACTTTTTCCTCCCAGCAGTTCCTGCAAAGGTTCCAGGACTCGTACTTGGACTGCCTTAGGTCACCTGCCTTTCCCTAAACCAATTACTCAGATGGTGGTGGTAGGGGTGGATGCAGAAGAAGGGCTATTAGTGGATAAGACTGAGTCAGTGTACTCGCCCCTGGAAAGTTAAAGAGTGAAGTCAGCCCCACGGCAGCCATATGGACAGAGAATGGCTGGACAGAGCCACATGGGGAAGACTAGATCCCTAGAGGAAATTAGGTTCTCCTTACCAGAAGAAAAAGAATGTTTGCTGGAATGACAAAAATTATACATGTCCCCAGTAGATCTTGACAAACTGAAGGATGTCCACAGGATATCATTAGGATAGTGAGGTGTATGAAAACTCTCATTTGAGGAAAAAAGAACTTCATCTCTCTTGTTTTGGGGGATAGGTAGAGGGTATGGAAAGGGGCCATAATAATGTCATTTTCAAATATTTGGAATGGAGACAAAGTGGGATTAGACATCTGTAAAATTCAGGGGAACAACATTGGGACCTAGGGTCAGAGATTTGAGGGAGGCAGATCATCCATATGAAATATAAATATATAAATAACACAATGTATACATGTGTATGTATACAACATACATACACTTTAAATTGTCCAAAAACAAAGAACAGGCCTGTTTGTGAGGCAGTGAGCTTGCCATGTCTGGAAAGCTGTGAATGGGTATGTCACTCTTTGCATGACTAATAAAACACACTGTACTTCCTTTTCGCCTTGGTTTTTTCATGGAGGCTGTGTCTAGGTAGCTACTATTTGGAATGCCCCACCCAGTCTTGTCTGAGGAAAGTGTACCCCATCCCAATAATTCCAGCCAGCAGTGCTTTCTCTTCTGAGGCATCCCTCCACGCCCTCTTTTTATAGTCATGGCACTTGGGATATGCTGTATTACAGTCACCTCAGCATGTGCCTTAACTTCCCCCAGTTTGGTGAAAGCACCCCAGGGCAGTGAGTATGCCATTGATCATAGTACCTGAGTGTCTTACTCAAGAAATTCTTGCAGAATAAGTAATTTTATCAGGACTTTTGTGGAAGGATTTTTGCCTTGGGAGAAGGTGTGTGACTAAAGGGCCACAATGATCCTGCTGAACTCCAAGAGTCGGTTACCAGCATGTCCTTGTGAAGGTGAAGCTGACTTACAGATGAATAATTGGGAATACTCAGAGCCATTTTTCTTTGTGCAGCTGTTGCAGGGGAAAAGGAGGCATCCTCCTCTGCCCTTCCTCTGAGAGTTACATCAATGAGCGATCCTTGGAGACCTCTGGGGGAGAACAGGGGCTCACAGTAAGAGTTCACTCTGGAATGGAAAGTGATTTCCCCTTTTACAGTCTTTCTACCTTGGCACTGCGCTTCCCCTAACCTGCCCTAACTCCTTTCTTAGCTATTCTTGTTTCTCCTTCCAACCTCCCCTGCCAGATGATACCAACTCCAGGAAGCGTTCGGGAGAGCACTTCCTCCCCTTTCTACCCAGCCAAGTTGGAGTTATTTCTCCGTTTCTGGGCTCCCTCCCATTTCTGGGGGAAGCGGAGCAAAATGGCCTGTCTGCACCAAGGCGCTTACCACGGTGTACCTTGCTTTACTTGTTTCTCTCTCTCCTTTTGTCTGCTCTCTTTCTCCTTGTTGAAGTCACAGACCAGGTTTATGTGTGGTCTCTGTGCCTGGTGCAGGAGACCCAGGCGCGTACACACACACACACACACACACACACACACACACACACACACCCCTTTCTTCGCTGTTTGAGTGGGTATCGCAAAGAGTTGGACATCAGCATTTTAGAATTTTCGAAATGCAAGAGTTTTGGGGAGTCACCTAGTGTCCCCCGCCCTTTTACAGATACTCTTCCTGAAGAATACAAGCTTTTAGGTTCGTTCAGGCCCTTCTCGAAGTCCAAAGCACTTTCGATTTAGAATTTTCGAAATGCAAGAGTTTTGGGGAGTCACCTAGTGTCCCCCGCCCTTTTACAGATACTCTTCCTGAAGAATACAAGCTTTTAGGTTCGTTCAGGCCCTTCTCGAAGTCCAAAGCACTTTCGCTGTTGATGATCTCAACATTCTAGGCATGTCGGGAGTGATAGGTGTCAGCATTCTTACTCCCTTTATCGTTGGGGAAACTGACTCAGAGAAACTAGGCAACGGGCCTCGGTGGGGCGGGGGCTGTAACGGGAATTCAGGGCTCCAGGCCAGTGCGGAATTTATTGTGCCTCCTTTTGGGAAGGGTGAAAGTGAAGTGATCGATTTATGAGCCCCAGGCGGGGACCCTTTAGTCCCCTAAATGGACTGGGATGGGGTCAGGAGGATTCATGCAGTAAGTTACCCCTTGGCAACTTGGTGAGGTCCAGCCGGGTCCACCGCCCTGGATAACCAATGGGCTGCGGCCTCTTTAAGGAGCCAGTCCCCGCTCCCAGCTGGTTGCCGACCTCCTCCCACCTCCTAGCAGCGGCTTCGCCAGTTCCACACTTCCCTTGGCGGTGAGGTCACCTCCCAACTGCCCATTGGCTGCGCTGGGCCGTCAGTCACAGGAAGTCCCGCCGTCGTCCTCGCCTTCCTATTATCCCTCCCTTCTCCGTTCTCCCTTTAGTCCGCCGTCCCGGCCTCCACAAGGCCTCTGATTGGCCAGTGCCGCCATCACTCCTCCAGCTGGCGGTGTGGGAGGTGAGAGGCGGGTGTGGTGGGAGGGCCCATAGCTTCCGTGGCTGAGACGAGCTGGCGGCAGCCGTGTCTGTGGTGCCCTCGGCGGCGGCGCGAGCGACCGTCCCGTCCTCCCCATCCCCTCGGCTCCACTCGCCACACGCCCTCCGCCCGCACCGACTTCTCCCCAGCTCCGCGCGCCCTGGCTGGACGTTGAGTCTCGAGAGGAGACGCGCGCGGCGAGAGCTGGAGCGGGGACCGCCGCGGAGCCCCGGCCGGCGGAGAGCTAGGCGGTGAGTGAGAGTCCCGGCAGGGCCCCTCCCCCACCGCGGCTCCGCCCCGAGCATCCTTTCTCCTCGCGACCCTGCAGCGCACCTCCGGGGGTCCCCGGGGCGGGCCTCGCGGCCAGGCCCCCTCCGGGCCGGGGTCGCCGAGCCGGGGCGGGTGGCACCGGGCGCGGCCGTGCAACTGTGTGCCTCCTGGCCGGGCCACGCCGGTGGGAGGCACGGAGGTTCCCGCCCTCGCAGCGCCCCGGGCGTGTTTTGATTCCAGGGACCGGGTGTCCGGCGCTTTCCCCGGGATCTTGTGCAAACCCTCGTGTGCAATCCCAGGATTCCCAGGCAAAGGAGGCTCACCTGAACTTGTTGATGCCTGTGTGGCAACTTGAATGCCGCCAGGTGTAAGGGCTTTGGCAGCTATGAAACTTGATGGCCAAGAACTTTACCATCTAAGAAAGTGTCTCCGTCAGAACTCGTGTGTTACATTCCTCATCGTGGCCGGTGCCGTATGAAAAAGCGTTGGTAACTCGTAATGGATAGGGCTTGAGTTTTCCAGTCAAATTTTCAAACCTGCCAGCTACTAGTTGTAAATACTGGGCCTCAGTTTCCTCATCAGGCAAATGGGGTAGTTGTAAGTTAAGAACGACTAGTAGACCAGTTTGTATTTAAGCACCAGCCCAACTTGGCTTTGTAAGGATTTCTCTGTTTTCTCACTATTATGTAGCACAACTAAAGGGCAGTTGGTTGCTTACCAGCAGCGATTGACTGCTTGCCAGCCTGTACTTGGCTTGAAGTGTATGTACACAGGAATGTGAAATATGTCACTTAAATGTAACAATGAAATTACACCTAGCTTCATGTGTTTTTACATACTTTAAATCCATAAGATGTCTGAAATGTCCCCAGGTTGCCAGTTGTTTGAGATCTTTCAGTCTTTCCTATCTGAAGCCAAAGCCTGTAGCATTTTTTTTTCATAAGAAGTTAAGTGTATACATTTTACTTTGGAAGACATCCCTCAAAACTCCAAGGTTCACTTACACAGTTTTACTTTTGAAAAACAGCCACCTCCCTGGGTGAGGTGGTACAGCCAGCTGGCCTGCAGCCCCATGACTGCAGGGTGGGGAACTTTTGGCTGCAAGTTATTAAACTAAATTTTGCCTAATGTTGTTTGCATTTTTCATAGTGAATCAAAGGGCTTTGTGATACTCAGTTTCTTAATGAAGTGACTTAGAAAGAAGTGAATCATTACTGCTTTTTTTAAAAAAAACATGCAAAGAAAAAAAGTTCTAGCATTGCTTCAGTTCTTTGCCATTAACTGTTAAGAAGAGTCCCTGTTTAAAAAGGCTTCCAAAACTCATATCCATTATGGTAAATATTTTATTTAGAGTAAAATCATGAGATGGAAGGGGCATATGCATCCTATAATCGAAAGTATTTATTGTAGGTCTTCCACATCCTTAATACTCTGCCAAATGCTCTGAGGAAGAGATTAAAAGAATAGAAACCAATATAATATTGTATATCAACTTTATTCCAATTAAAAAAGTATAGAACAGCATCTCAGCCTGTAAAGGGCAAAACCATAAAGTTTGGGTCACCAATTTTGGGTATTACTGAAGTATGACTGCATTCATTCATTCAGCAAACTTGTTCCATGCCTTTAATGTGCAGGTGTTTTCCTAAAAGCTTCATTTATCAAAATAAGGGAGATTCTCTT